GTGGATTTTTTTGGGAGAGACGTTCCAAGGTCCCAAACCATTAAGTGTTCTATATGTTAAAACCCAAACCTTGAACCTGGCATGGAAAAGATCAGGTAGCCAATGCAGGTGAGCAGGACTGTGAGCAAACATGTTCATTCCAGAAATCAATTTGGCCACCACATTCGGAATCTTCTGAAGCTTCTGTATTAGCTTCAAGGGCAGCCCCATGTCACCAACATTACAGTAATCAGTAGAAATGGGCATGAATTAAAGAACCACCAAATTCGTTCAAAAATCACTAATTCATCCATTTGTATTCATACAAATCAATGCCCCTGATGAATCATGAATCAATACATTTTTTAGTGATTTTTGATTTGTTAATTCATTTGGCTATAAAATGTTATACAGTACTGAGTTCTACACCCACAAGGAGGCCACCCCAGAAAAGTTTCCTCCAGGCACCTAGAGATACCCAAATCACAGAGAACCTACTACTGACTCTCCTCTACCACACGTCGAAGTTTGGTGAAGATTGGGTTTCCCCAAACCAGCTGCTAAAGGGCACTTTCTTGGGGGAACCCACTTTGTGGACATACAACTTGCATGTCAGAAACCCAATCTTCACCAAACCTGGATGGATTGTAGAGTCATTAGAATTGGCTCTGTGATTTTCATGTCTCTAGGTACCTGGGGAAAACTTCCTAGGAGTGGCCTCCTTGTGGGTGTAGAACTCAGATATCGAAACCCAAACTTTACTAAACCTGCAGGGCTTGTAGAAGAGAGCCAAGGAAAGTTTTATGCAATATTAGTGTATTTAGGTGCTTTGAAACCTGCAGGGCTTGTAGAAGAGAGTCAAGGAAAGTTTTATGCAATATTGGTGTATTTAGGTACTTTGGGGGGGGGGCTGTTTGAAATTCAAAAACAAATTATCATATTGATTCATCAATACATAAAAAATGGTAAATTAATTAATAATTTGTGATTCATCAACCATGAATCAAACTGAATCACCATTTTTCTGATTCACGCCCATCTCTAATAATCAGTCTTTGAAACTACCAGGGCATGAATCGATGTTGTCAGTGGCCTCCAGTTCAGGTAAGGGTATAAATTTTGGCAGTTGTCCAAAGCTGTCAAGAGTTGGACCTAGCCATGGCCAATATTTGCAGTTCCATTGGAAGTGCCCGTTTACATGGTTTTCCTCTCCCTATTTTATTCTGGAAATGATCCTGTGAGTTAGGGTCAGCTCAGAAATAGTACCTGACCCAAGGATACTAAGCAAGGATTTGGACTAGCATCCCCCTACTGCAAATCCAACATTTTAACCATTACACTATTCTGGCTTCTCAGATCAGCAGTTACTGCATAAATGAATCTGAAGCAAAAAAAAATATATTGGCAGGGGGAAAATGTAACAATGTGTTCAATTTGCATAATATAAAAAAATCCATATTATTTAGAGTATTATGCATATTTTTAAGACACAAATTCAACTAATATGCAAATCAGGCTGCCTAGTTTTGGAAGAATCAAACATGGCAACCCTAATTGATGCCATTCAGAAATGATCTTGCTTTTCAGACCCATCTTCATGATTATGCTATACATTGTATGTGATTTGTTGCTAAAAGCAAAGCAAAGAGTGTTGCTTATATACCTACCACCCCATAGTGCTTCAAGCACTCTCTGGGCGGTTTACAAGTTAATTATGCAGGCTGCACATTGCTATATACCATTAGCTAAAAAAACAACAACAGAGGACGAATGACAACCGTGTACTGGGTCCTCAGGTTGCATCAATTCCTCTACGACTGATAAAATTTAAAAACAAAAATGTGCTTAGATCTATTGTAAAGAAAATGTACCTGCCATCACCAGGAATTAAAATCCCATGAGTCTCAACATCAACCCAGTGCCCTCTCTCTCCCCTGCCTTTTCACTTTCACCCTGCTTTTTCTCACTCCCCCAGCACACAGACAGTGTTAAGAACAAGACTCTCAGAAAAGCCTAGGATCAGGTACAGTACTTATAAGCTAATTAGCAAAGGACCTGACTGAGGCTTTGGAGGTACTGATGTTGGAATACAAACAACCTAGTTGTGTAAGTCAGGAGATCAGTAGTATTCATTCAAAAATACGTTTCTAGTGCTCACTGTTCAGGAGATCTTTCAGGACCAATAAAACAGAAATATCAGATTTGAAAAGGATCTATTTATTAAAATGTGGTCTCTCTCTCTCTCTCTCTCTCTCTCTCACACACACACACACACACACACACACACACACACACACACACACACATACCGCTACCTCTGAAAGCAAGAATGAGACTGAAAATCTATTCATTGTTATGAACCATTTTTTGTCAAGAATGAACATGCTGTTTCTATTAGTGGTGTTAATGGGAGTCGTGTGAGTTACATTCCATGTGCCACACACACACAAACACACACAGGGTGGGGGAAGGAGAGAGGGAGGGAGGATGTAATTATTACAAGTAAAAAAAATGGACCCATATTAAAAGAAGATGGATGCTTGTAGCAAACTATACCTCCCAGTTATAAGTATATTAAAAATATGTTTAAGGAAACTAGTCATGATCCCATTCAAAAACAAACAAACAAAACCCCCTAACTTTAAAGCATGGTTACTCATGACTGAGCAATGGACAACTGAAGTGATTTTTTTTTTATCATTAGTTACATGGCACACATTCAACAGTTGAAGATGCTGCAGTTTACTACTTTATGCACATTTTGCAATTTATAGGATTCCCTAAGAACTTACACCAGAGTACAGGAAATGTTGCAGTGGAGTTATAGCTATTCTCAGGCATTTTCCATCACACAAGACAATGGAATGAGAAAAGAAGCAGAGGAAAGTTTATGAAGGAGCAGAATTTAAAATATTCTCTTATATTTTGCAAGACAGGCAGCCAGTCTTCAGAAGGGCTTAACCCAGTACAGATTCATATGGCTTGCATTCAGTATGTCACATTCAATCACAGCTCCTTCTTGATTTGTTCTTACAAAAAAAAACCTTTAACTGAATACAGTACATGAGGTTTTAAAATATATGCTTAATTCACAGACCAAAGATCCAACCCAGCACCAGAAAGAATTGCTTATTTTCTTTAAACCCAAATCAGCACATTAAGATGCTGTTGATAATAAAAAAAAATACTTCTTTTCTTTCTTTTTTTGCAACTGAGGTGCCATGCAGGAAGGCAGACTTGCGAAGCCTTCTACAAAGTAACCATTGTTCTTATGCTTACAACAACGAATAGTCCCCAGCTGAGTAAATCCTTTTTACATCTACAGTACTAAACAATTCAGAAGTTTGTCGGACTAGAGAGAACAGCTTGAATGGTGGAGAGTTAATTCTGGAAAACAAATATCAGGATTAGCAGAGAGAGAAAGAGATACATTATTTAGAACCAGCAGAGTGCAATAGGAAGCAAACCTAAGCCTAAAGCAAGAGGTTTAGACTTTTTCCTATATGTGAATAATAGGAAACCTACGGGAAATGTTAGTCAACCATTGTAGCCAAGTTCTAGATTTACAGACCTGTGAATGTAGTTAAGAGTTTCACATACCCTCTAGTCTCCAGTCCTACTACTGGTGCTCTGTATCCAAGGACTGCTGAGGAACTCCTTTACCGAGCCCTATCTAAAGGAACTGCCCAGATTTTGTGGTGTAATCTGAGCAGGGAAGAACCATATGCCTAGGCTACACTTAATGCACTTTTTACCTCCCTCTGATATGCAACAGGGGGAGAAAAGCATAAATGAAAAGACTGTTTGCTATCCAGCAGGATCTAGAAATTGAAAGCAGCATATTTATATGTGGCACTGTTTTGCCTTATGTATTTAAATGCATTCATTGCCTTGAAATACCATCGCTTGAATATGCATAAAGTCTGACACACACACACCCCCGAGTCCTGCATGCCTGCCAAGTCCACATTTTCTAAAAAGTTACAATCATACATCACACAGCTCAGACATAGCATGCAACTTAAAAAAAAAGAGACCAGACTTCTCTAATTACAAGTTTCTTTCTATGACATTTAGATATTTTGGCTTATAGCAATCTGAAAGGTTTATTTATTTCCCTGACATCCTGTATCTGGCCCCAAAGATAAGAAGTAAGATAACTTTTATGACACCCAAGTGGAAAACAAAATCAAAATTCTTGCATATAATCACCATTTGTGCAATTAACAAGGTAACAATAATCAATGCTAAATTATGGTGACCAGTCTCAGGGGTCTTTTATGTCAATCAAACAGTCTTTCTGTGCTCCTTTTGGGTAGATGGATCTATGTGCATGTGCGATGAGCTTCAAAAGATTTAAAAAATAAAGCAAAGTGTGCTGCTTATATACCTCCCCATAGCGCTCAAAGCACTCTCTGGCTGGTTTACAATTTAATTACTCAGGCAAAACATTGCCCCTCCCCCCAGTGCACCTAGTACTCAATTTACTGGCCTTGGAAGGCTGGAAGGCGGAGTGAACCTCAAGCCAGCTACTGTACCTGGAATTGAACCTGGATTGTGAGCAGAGTTTTCACTGCAGTGCTGCAGTTTAATCACTGTGCCACAAGGCTTCACAAAGGTAAGGAGAAAGACACTGGCTTTCTGCAGAAGCCTTTTCAAAAATGTTCTCTCCAACGTCCTCTCTAATTTTTGGCATGCAGCTCTGCCACCCACTAGCTCTGGCTGCAATAAGAACCAAAGGAGCGAAAACACTGGCTGTGAATGCGCGGGGGTTGTAGAAGCAAAAAGCAAAAAAACTATTTTTACAGAAACTCCCACCTCTAGCAGTTGTCTGCTGGAACTCTGTTTGTAGAAAGCTGGTGGTCATACAAAACTTGAAATCCCCATGCCTACCTGTGTGAGCCACTGCACCAAATGAAATTATCCAGGACTGACCTTTTAAAGGTGCCAGCTACCAAATCTGCCTGACTCAGCAAGGAGAAATCTCTTCGGGCTGTTGAGCTTATGCTCTGAAACTCCCTTCCTGAGGCCGTGAGAAGTGTGATGTTTTTGAAAGGGGGAAATTCAGGAAGGAATGTAAGGCAGAATGGTTTCAGTGGTTTTGCCTGTATTTCTACCCTTTCACAATTACATACATTTTGCTTTTTAGAGGGATTTATTTATTGAATGGGATATTTATGAATAGAAAGAAGGAAGGAGTCATCCCATTATTTTTATGGTTTCCTTATTTTGATTTTGTATGGTCGCTGGAACAGGGCCTTGGGAGAAATGGGAGACAGCACTCGGAAAACACAGCCATGATATTAATAATCTGTTATAGTCTTATTTGCAATCTCACATGCTGTCTGTAGTTTGTGTGACTGGGAGGGACTTTTTTGGGATGGGTTACTTATATATCCAGCACTAATCAATCATTCTTTCCATCCTTTGAAGTCAAAGAGAGTGCTGCCTATCTGTTGAGTGTTATCTTTCCCTCTCTTTCCTTTCTTGGTGGCCGTTCTTAGTTTGCTATTGATCTGTTAAACTGGCTGCTAAGTATGCAGTAGGACCACCATATCCATGGGATCAGTACCTGCAATTTCACTTATCTGCTGCCTGAAAACATTAAAAATCAAGGAAGAGATGTTTCCTTGGTTTATTACCAGAACTGACCACTAGAGCGAATCAGGGATTATGCTATATACCAGGGGTGTCCAACCTTTCACCTTCCCTGGGCCACATTAGAAGATGAAAATTTAGTTTGGGCCGCACATAAAATAAAATAACAGTAATGATACCTGATCATCCAAAAAAACCATAGAAAACATAGTTAACATATTAAACTTACTTGCTGCTGTTTAGTGTTTATATTGTCAGGTTTGGCTTTGTGCTGTATTTATCGCAAACCACCCAGGGTAGGAGGGCTTCAACACGCATTGCGAGTGCAGTAAATAAATAAAGAAATAAACAAACAAACAAACAAACAAACTTATTTATTTCTGGGATGGAAAAAAGAACTGGGGAGGGGCAACAACACCCAGAAACACAAGCACAGAGACACACACACAGACACACACACACAGACCCCAGCAGCAGCTGCTGGGGAATTTGGGAGTTGTAATCCCACTGCATCAACTTTCTCAGCCTCTGCTTGGGGATCACACCAACAGCAACTCAACCAAACCAAGGATGATGATCTTGGTAAGGGGGAAAGGTTTCCTCAACATTTGGAGGGGTGCTCTTCAACGCTTGCTTCCTCGCCAAAGGTCCCCCCTCCCTCCAAACGGTGCTTTTTTGAGAGCCTCCATCCCGGGTCGAGGCCACGGTTTCCCAGTGGGCACGCATCCCCAAACCAACCCATCCTCTCCCAGGTGGGTTTTTTTTGGGGGTACCTCCTTCCAAAAGCCTCTCTCATCCTCCCCATTTTCCTGCTCCATCCGTTCCACCCGCCTCTTGGTTCCTTCTCCCCCCCCCAGCGGTTTTCCGCCTCCAAAAAGGCATCCTTTCCCACCAGAAAGCCGGGCGGCGGCTGTGCGTACCTTCCCCCGAGAAGGACCTCCGGGCTCGCCCTGGCAAGCCCAGCCTGGCCGCCCTTCGCCCGGGTCATCCATCCCGCCTCTGCCCCCCACACCCAACACACACACAGTGGGAAAAGCAGTCCCAAACTTTGTGAGGATGCTTCCCCCCCCTCCAGGCTACCTCCCCTCATCCCCAAACCGTGCGCTTGCCGCGATCTCCTGGCACCGATGGGAGCTCCACATGTCGGGCGGATTCCCACGTGGGGTGGGAGGAAAGCGAGTCGGGGCCACAAAACAGAGAGAGAGAGGAAAACGTGTCGGGCTAGCAAAACAGACAGAGAGAGAGGGACAGAGAGAGAGTGCACGGGCTCCGCGGGCAGGCGGGCGGTGGGGTGCAGAAGAAGCGTGTGGGCCTGGAACCTCGCAGGGCGTCTGGAAGCAGAGGCCGCGCAGCCGGCACGGGATTTAAAGCCC